GTATATTATATATATATATATATATATATATATATATATATATATATATATATATATATATATATATATATATATATATATATATATAGACAGACACACACACTCACCAAACGGATCCTACATTCGATATGAGCTTACCTGGTTATTCATTATTTGATAGATCTTAATGTACTCATTGGGATTGTTGAGGAATCTGAGGAATAACCATAAAACCTTTTTAAATACGAACAAATACTGAGGCATAGTAATATTTGTATTTAGGTTGTTAAAAGGGATAAGCTGGAGTGTTAGCATAGGAGCTAGCTTTCCTAAGGATCTTCCACCTAAATTTGGTAAATGCATAGTTACTTTCATGAACATGATTTAATACAAGTATTAATAAAAAATTATTAATATCTTTTGAAAGTTTATAAATGTATTATATGCTTATTGACTGAAATATGTGTTAGAGGTATATTCAATGTTATACATTGTGCAAACTAGATATGGTTCTATATGTGTTAAGCTATATATATGATATTATTACATGATAATAATAATAATAATAATAATAATAATAATAATAATAATAATAATAATAATAATAATAATAATAGTAATAATAATAATAATTCTAAAAAAGTAAATGTATATTAATACCTAATACTCCTTGTTAAACATATACGCGAGATCAGGATAGTGTTGCCTAAACAAGGTTCATATTGGGAATTGATATTAAGCATTGTAGTCTTGCCTGGTGATGAGATATGACTTATAAAGGATGCTTAGTTTGAGTGAAGATGAAGATATGTAGATTCACCATGTATTGTAAAGATATCACATAGGTAGGAACTTTGTGATGATTATGGATATCATAATCTTGTTTAGTTATACCCAAATACGTAAAAGAGATGCTTAGTTCAATTAAGTTTGGACATTATGTATCTAGGGTGTGTGTGAGTTTGGAACGCGGAGTAGAACTCTATTCGATGACATTGTTGTGGTACGTTTTATGTACAAGAGTACTATTGGTATTCCCCTCCTGTGAAAAAGACTCTGTTTGATGATATTGCTATGATTTGTTGTGGTATATTTTATGTACAAGAGTACTAAATTGGTATTCCCCATCCTTTGAACAAAACTTTGTTTAAGGACATTGCTATGATTTGTTGTGCAATCTTCTACCAAAGTGAGATGACGACCACTGACTAAACTTAGTCTTGTGGAATACGCTAGCAAACTTATAGTATGTAAGTGCTAATAAAATGCATATTCATTTTCTACACTACCGCCCCCCCCCCCTTTATTTTTTGTCTTATTGATCCTCGTCTGTTGCCAAGGAGTCCCCGAAGTAGTACCATCAATTTGTTGCTTTTAGTGATCCATCTGGATTATATGTGAGGATCGATGAGATGAGGTAGATTGTCTTATAATATATCTATGTTGTTGATGATAATTAGTTTTGCAAGTTTGAGATATACGATTTATTATCATAATAACATTGTAGGATAGAAAAATCTATGTATCTCACCAGGTTTCCCAACCTGACCCACTCAATTTATATGCATCACAGGTAGGGGTGTTTAGACTGCTAAAGACTTGATTAGTTTGTTGAGTGATCGAAGAGAAGACCAACAATAATGTTTAGGCCCGTTAGGTGTAACAACGTGAATTTTCAAAATAATTTTTCATTTTTCAAATATCATAAAACTTATTCAGTATTCTCAATTCCCATTTTTAACAAATGTGATCATAATAAAAACATATCCCAAGGTCATAAAATAAATCTCCTGCCAGTGTGTATGGATCATATCGGCGCATTCCCACGATCATCGCTAGTACCTGAAACAGATAACACATAACATTGTAAACATAAATTCTTATGAGTTCCCCAAAATACCACATACAACACATACGCCACTCATGTCCATAACTCTATGGGATCTTCCGATCCATGTGTCCCAGGGGACTTCTGTCCCAACTCTGGTAGACCTTCCGACCCTACCCGTATGACCTTCCGGTCCTCATCATCTTGACCTTCCGATCCATACATTGTTGACCTTCCGGTCCATATCATGGTACTCATAACATAGCATAACAGATACATATCACATAGCAATACATATCACATACTCTGCATAACATATAAGACCTTCCAGTCATACATAGTTACCACTCTAAGTAAAGTATAGTAAGAAGACTCACCTCATATGATGTCTAGTAACTCACGTGCTCGGTATCCGTGAACCTCGTAACAATGACCTAGCACCGCCTAAACATATAAGCAATCATCTCAATTCAATAACGGCTCTCCAGGCTAGAATAGTTCATTCCAATGTTCTCTCAGAAGGATAAAAGATCATTTTACCCTTCTAATGGTCAAAAAGTCCAAGTGTTGACCCAACCCTAAAAGTCAACGAAAGTCAACGGCCAAACTTTGACCAGACTCGTCGAGTGCATATAGGTGACTCGACGAGTCCAAGCGTGTACTTTGGATCTTTCTAAACCTCACTCGACTCGTTGAGTGAACCTTCCACTTGACGGGTTACCACTGGTCATGAATCGTGGGGCAACCCGACTCGACTCGTCGAGTCCCCTTATGGACTCAGTGAGTTCCTTCCAAGGCAACACTCAAACGACCTTCAGAGGTCAGATCTTCTTCTCTAACTAGTAGATCCAACCTCCTAGCACTCAAAAGTCACGTAAAGGTTTAAAATTTATGTTCCTGCAACACATACAAAGCCATAAATGGAGAAATAACCTTCAAAATGGCAACCGAATCTCAAAACTCTCATGAAACAGCATAAAGCTAGAAGGTTGGGAGTTTTGGACCTCTCATGGTCCAGATCTATCATTTACACCACCTTGGGACATCACATGCTTCATAATCCAACTCAAAATGATGCAAAGCAAAACCTAGATTCAGGCAATCTATCAAATACACGAAATGGGAAAGGATTTGTACCTTTAGAAGCGAATCTCAGTATGAATAACATAGATCCAAGCTCCACAATCGATCTAGCTTGGACTTTCCAACTCCTTCTTGCAAGAACACACCAAAAGGATGGAGAATTATCCTTTCCCTTGCTCTCTAAGCTCTCTTCGCTCTCTAGGATTTCTAAGGGGAGTAAGTGGCCGCAAATGAAGGACATAAGGACCTTTAAATAGGTCTTAAACCCGAGAAATTAGGGTTTTTTTCGTTAGCACTGACTCGTCGAGTCAGATAGCCGACTCGGCGAGTCCAGTCGCTAAAAAGCATCAAAAGTCACGACCCTACTCGACGAGTTGAGGTGCCAACTCGTCGAGCCTCTCCAATAACTCAAGAAAATCAAATGATTAAATAATCAAGATAGCATACCCGCTATTCCGGATGTTAGAATTATCCCGCACTGGAATTAGACTTCACCCTCGAAGTCTCATTCTGCAAACAACTCTGGGTGCTGCTTTAGTATCCACGCCTCCGGCTCCCAAGTCAACTAGGACCCTCTCGGATGTTGCCACTGGACCAGAATCAGTGGCACCTCCTTGTTCCTCAGAACCTTGATCTTTTGATCCAAGATTGCGATTAGCTTCTCAACATAATTAAGGCTTGCATCCACCTGAATGTCCTCTAGTGGCACCACCTTCGAATCGTCGGCTATGCACTTCCTCAACTGAGACACGTGGAAGGTATCATGTATTTGGCTCAACTCCGCATGTAGCTCTAAAAGATACGATACCTAGCCCACCCTCGCGGTCACTGAAAGGACCTTAGATCAATCGATTTATCAAACAATGACTATTAATAAGAACAAAACAATGAAGTATCACAAAGAGCTTTCACTAAGAATGATAATCTCACAAAGAGATTATTGTTCGCACAAAGCGGCTATTAGGGTTTGCGAAAGACAACCTCTTCACACACCCGTACAAAAGACTATATAGAACTATTATAGACAATCCCTACAAATCAGGGATGTTCCAACTAACTAATATATGATAACTATGGAAACAAGATAAATACTAAATCTGTTACAATAAAAGATATATACTGAACAACTTGTATGCTAACCCTGATGCTGGATTACGTGCTGATGCCGAGTGATCAGTTTCAAACATAATCATATTATAAGGTTCGACCTTACAATCTCCCCCAATATGATGATGTTCAAAACAACAGCTATACTAGAACACCTCTGGACACAAATTCTTCATACTTAGCTTCAGCTTCTATTTTCACAGGCCAGTAAGGACTATCCAGCAGCTCCTGTCTTCTATTCAGTAACTCCATAGCAATCAGTATGTGAAACTCTCTAGATAGATCTTGATGACTCATGCACATTTTTTCTAAGCCAACAAGATTTGCTGTTGGAGCTCTTGGAATTTCTGTGGTGCGCTGAAAACACATTTTCCTGTTTTTATCAAGATTAAACATTCCATGTTCAGGAACAGAGATGAACTTAAGTTGAACCGGCTCAACACCGATAGGAAGAGAGTTGTTGATTCCTTCAGCACCAAAATTTAGAACCAATACATCTTCACTATCAACTTGAAATATGGTTCTTCTGATTCTTGGAACTGAGGAACTTTGGCCTTGCTGGTGAGGACGCTGGGTAGGAACAAGATCCAGACGCTGAACTTTCTTGATCAGTAAATGGAGAGCACATGTCAGTTATGAAGAGAGAGCCGAAGTTTTCTTGGATGCTAATTCAAGCAATTCCATCCATTCAGAGTATCCGTAACTGATCAGCTCATCCCTCTTGATGACTTCAGTGTATGGATGTTGAAGACCTTGACGAGTGATCAGCAAAGTAAGAATTTTCTCATTACGAGGTTTAGAAGCTTTAACTTTTGATGATCTTATCACTGCTCACTCGTCATTTAAGAACATCTTGAAACCTCTTGCGATCAATCCTGTCGAGAACATTTTCAGTCCTTGACTTGCTGCTATTGGGAGGAAGCTGTGAAGATTTGGATTTGGACTGATATTCTAAGAACTTTTGCATTTGAGCTTCAAAGGATCCTTTGGCCTGAAGTTTATGCTAAATGAGAGATTCATCAGCTTGAGCAATATTATTTAGAAGCTGAGCTTTATTGGCTTCATCAAGAATTTGCTTAACTTGATCAGGAGACATGTTCCATTCAGCTGCTAAATTGGATATATTGACGATGGACTTTGGTTTCTTACTAGGAAGAGAAGTATCAGTATGTGAAACAACCAATTCAGTATTTGCTGCCTTGCATTTGCGAGATAGAGGTTGAATATCCTCGCTAGCTACATCTGAGTCTTCTCCTTGAATTGGAACAATGGGATCAATGAAGTTCATATCTAGCATTTGACACTCATCATCATGATCATCTTCATTATCATCTGAGGCTTCTTCTTGAACTGGCACATGAGGATCAATGAAGTTCATGTCCAATATTTGACATTCATCATCATGTTCATCCTCATCATCATGCTCACTATTTTCAGCAAGCTTTTCAGTATCTGCTGGTCTATCAGACTCGTGCACAGGCTGTGGTGGCTCGGTCTGGTTTAAAATGTTATCCTCAGATCCGAGCTCAACAGATTCAGTTTTTCCCTCTTTTTGATCATCATCAGTTTCTCCCCCTTTTTGATCATCATCATGTTGTCGGCCAGGGGAAGGAGTTGGCAAAAGAACTCTGTTCAGTTGGTGGACATCGGCCTCAATTCGTAGAAGACGATGACTCATCTCCTGAGTCAGTGTAAGAAGCTCATTAAATGCTGAGGCCGGTATATGAAGGAATTGAGTACCTGGAACTTCTTGTGAGCGATGTTGCTCCCTCGGAGAAGGTTGCTCCCCCTGGGATGGCGCTCCCCCTGAGATGGTTGCTCCCCGTGAGATGGTTGCTTCCCTTGAGCTGAGTGAACCCTCTTAGTGATAGAAAGAGTATGATGAGAAAGTTAATGGGAGAGATGACCACCGTCCTGCGTTTCAGCTTATTGATCAGCATGATCTTCGTTGTTACCATCAGCTCCTTCATCAGTACCAGCGGTTAGTGAAGGAACAATATATGGATTTGCGATCCATTCTCTCATTCGATCAGAGATGCCAATGTCATTTTCCATTGGATCATCCTGATACATTCGCACTGACATGCGTGGGCATTGGATGGGGTTTCCAGAGTGGGAGTAGTAGGCTTCAGCGAAAAATTTATCTAGGATAAGAGCAATCCAGCGTGGAAAGGGGACATGATCAGCACGTACATTGGCACGAAGAAGTTGGACAAGCTGATCAAAGAAGAAACCCCCATAATCAAGATGTTTGTTGAGAAGAAGGGAACAGACAACTTGTTGCTCATAAGTACTCAGTTGATCACCACTGCGAGATTTGTGACCCACACATTTGCACAGAGCCCCGGTGAAGAACTTCCATCCTGGAGTCATACATTGACGCAGAATGAGAGCTGATCGAGCACCAGCCTTTGAGTGATCATAGCCTAGTTGATCAAAGAGGCGTTGACAGCGTTCAATAGTTGGAAGCTCAGAGAATGGTTCAAAGACTGGTAACCTGAGCGCAGCACTAAGGAGATCAGCGGTGATAAAAACAGAGTGTCTGCCATGCCCAATAGTCCCGGAGATGACGTTGTTTTCATCATTAACCATTGCAGTGTAGTAGAACTCACATACTTGTTCGGGAAAGAACTCTGATGGAACATCACCGATTGCGTATCGAAGTCGGCAGGAGACTAAGAAATTGACAAAATCATCAAGTCCAAGACCTCGATGAACATCTGGTATATCAGGATTGAAAACGACATTTGTGGCTTTGATGTATATGGGAAGACGAGGAGAGTTTGGAGCTGGGATGACTCTTCTTGAAGTGGAGGAGAAAGTGAATAGTGATGCCACCATTGAAGAAATTTAGGATTCTAGGATTTTCTTTGTTTTTTTTATAAGAGAGAGGGAGAGAGAGAGAGAGAGAGAGAGAGAGAGAGAGAGAGAGAGAGAGAGAGAAATTTGGAGGAAGGTGAAAAGGTTTCGGGAAAAGATGAAAAGGTTTAAATAGGCGATGAAACAGTAAAAAAAAGGTAATGATTATCTTTATCGAAAATAACTGTGTATCTTGACAGACTGTCAAATCAAAAAAATAGTCGTTGGGTAAAAAGAGCCGTTGTACTAAAGAGGAAACTTCAATCAGTGACTGCGGAAGTGCTGAGATTATGATCACGGAAAGTTACATGTTGAAAGATAGTTTGTCATCAATTCAAGGTACAACTTGCTTGTTTAGGTTTAGCAAGGTGATTGGTGTGTGTGATAGATACTAGTTTAATTATCTAACCATCGGCACAGAGTGTCGAGTCTTTATCAGTAAGTGGTATTTCTTACTGAATCATTAGACACTGAGTGAGAAGAAGGTGAAGAGAGGATTGTTGCATGTGATAGACCTTGGTGTTTTGGTCTAACCATCAACAAAGATTGGTAGATTCTCATCAGCATGTGTTTCGTCACGCTGAATCACATAATCAGTGTAAGATTGGTAAGAGGGGATAGTTGCGTGTGATAGAGCTTGGTGTTTTGTCTAACCATCGGCAAAGACTTTTCGATTCTCATCAGTATGTGTTTTGTCACACCGAATCACAGATTTAGTGTAAGATTGGTAAGAGGGGATAGTTGCGTGTGATAGAACTTGGTGTTTTGTCTAACCATCGGCAAAGAGTTTCAAGTTGTTATTAGTGTATGGTTTAATAAAGTGAATCATTCAACTTTAGTTTAGAAGATTTGTAGAAGAGATAGACATAAGAAATCATACAATGTACTCAGCATGCTAAACATCATCAGTACATCATCATCATCAAAAAACATTAGTTTATATGACAATAGCAAACATTAGTAAAACATTTTCAATCCAGAGTGATCATTCCAAGTTCGCCAATAATGTGAGCATTAGTTTGAGTATCCAAGGATTTGGTGAAAATATCAGCTAGTTGATCGGAAGTCTTGACATGTTTTAGAACAACCTTGCCCTTCTCAACATTGTCTTTGATGAAGTGATGTCTGATCTCAATATGCTTTGTCTTTGAGTGCTGAACAGGATTCTATGTGATCTGAATGGCACTGGTGTTATCACAGAATATAGGAGTCTTTGTGAATTTAAGCCCATAGTATAAAAGTTGATTTTGAATCCATAAGATTTGAGCACAACATCTCCCAACTGCAACATACTCAGCTTCTGCAGTGGAGATAGCTACTGAGGTTTGTTTCTTGCTGGACCAACTGATTAGTCGATTTCCAAGGAAATGACATCCACCTGACGTGCTCTTTTTGTCTAAGTTGCAACCTGCATAGTCGGAATCAGTGTATCCAAGGAGTTCAAGCGCTGAGTCACGAGGGTACCACAGTGCCAAGTTCTGAGTGGCCTTTAAGTATCGAAAGATGCGTTTGACTACAATGAGATGAGACTCCTTGGGATTAGCTTGGAATATAGCATAGAGAATGGTTCCAAACATGATATCAGGGCGACTTGCAGTGAGGTAGAGAAGAGATCCAATCATTCCTCGATAAAGAGAGTGATTAACATCAGTGCCGGTGGGATCAGCGTGTAGCTTATCAGTCTTAGACACCGGAGTAGAAGCTGGTTTGTAGTCGCTGAGAGAGTACTTAACTAGCATGTCAGCAATATATTTACTTTGACAAATTGAAATACCTGATTTTTGTTGCTGAACCTCAAGACCTAAGAAGAAAGTCATCTTCCCCATCATGCTCATTTCGAACCTTTGAGACATGATCTCAGCGAATTCTTTGCTCAGCTTCTCACTTGGAGATCCAAAGATGATGTCATCTACATAGATTTAAACAAGAATCATTTCTGAGCCTTTCTGTTTGATGAAGAGATTATTGTCAATTGCTCCTCTTCTGTAGCCATTTTCAAGATGATATGATGTCAGTGTCTCATACCAGGCCCTGTGAGCTTGCTTCAGTCCATATACAGCTTTATCTAGTCGGTACACATAGTTAGGGTGCTCTTTGTCTTCAAAGCCTGGGGCTGTTTGAGAAATACTTCTTCTTGTAACTCACCATGAAGAAATGCCGTTTTGACATCTATTTGGTAGACAATGAAGTTCATGTATGAAGTGTATGCGAGAAACAGTCTGATTGCTTCAATGCGGGCAACTGGAGCAAAAGTCTCCCCGTAGTCGATGGATTCAATTTGAGTGAACCCCTGAGCAACAAGTCTTGCTTTGTTACGAGTAATAATACCATCTTTATCAACCTTGTTGCGGTATACCCAGCGTGTTCCGGTGATGGTCTTTCCTGATGGTCTGGGAACAAGAGTCCAAACCTTGTGCCTTCCGAACTCGTTCAGCTCGTCTTGCATGGCTTTAATCCAGTTAGCGTCTTGAAGAGCTGAGTGTATCTTGTTAGGTAAAATCATTTAAACGAAATTAATGTACATGCAAAAATTATTAGATACACGAGATCTGGTTCGGACACCATCATGAAGATTCCTAATAATTTGATCAACAGGGTGATCTCGATGTCCAGAAGCTGATTCCACTGGATTTGACACTGAAGTGTTATTGCCGAAGGGAACATTAGTTGTAGGAGAATCTTCGGTCTCAAGGGTTTCATTAGCATCGGACAAATGAGTTGTCGAGCTGACCGCAATATCTTGATTTACAGAATTTGTATCTGGAACGATAGGATCAGGAATAATATCTTCTTCTTTAGTATGAGAAACTTCAACATATGGGCAAGAGAGAAGTTCTTGAAAAATAGAGGAAGAATGAGCTACTTTTTCATCAGTGTATGATTCCTCATCAAACTTTACATGAATGGATTCTTCAATGCACTGCCTGTTCACATGAAAAACACGAAAAGCCTTTGAAATAGATGAGTATCCAACAAAAATACCTTTGTCAGCCTTAGGCTCAAATTTTGATCTTGGATCGCGCTGATTAAGAATATAACAAATGCATCCAAACACGTGAAAGAAGGATACGTCCGGCTTTCGACTTTTCAGCATCTCATATGGTGTCTTCTTGTGAATCCTGTGAATTAGAGATCGATTCTGAGTATAACATGCTGTATTAACAGCTTCAGCCCAAAACGACATAGGAAGACCAGCATGAATCATTAAGGTCCTTCCTGCCTCAATCAGTGTTCGATTTCTTCATTCAGAAACTCCATTTTGTTGAGGTGTGCGAGGAGCTGAAAAGTTCTGCCCAATGCCTTTATAATCACAAAATTCTTCAAGAGTTGAATTCCAGATTTCAGTGCCATGATCAATCCTTAGCTGCTTAACTTTGAGACCAGTCAGTGTCTCGTTTTGATGAATCATCGAGATAATTTCCTGTGCAGCATGACTTTTCTTCTTTAAGAAAACCACCCATGTAAATCGAGTAAACTCATCCACAACCACTAGAGTATACTTGTTTCCTCCTTGGGAACGAACAGGAATAGGTCCAAACAAGTCTACGTGTTAGTAAATGAAGAGGAACAGATATGCTAGAACATGACTTGGGTTTGAATGACGACTTGGTTTGTTTTCCTTGTTCACACTCTGAGCACATCTTGTCTTTGACAAAGCTGAGTTTTGGGAGACCTCTAACTAGATCTTGATTGGATGTTTTGGATAGATTCTTAAAGTTCAAATGAGAGAACCTTTTGTGCCAAATCCAACTGAGATTGGTTTGAGACTTTGTAAAGAAACATTGCATCAGCGCCTTGTCACTTGAGAACATGTCAAGAACATATATATCATCTTTTCTACTTGCTGAGAGTACAACGTTCTTGTCAGTGATAACAACTCTTCCTTCCTTCTTTGTAAAATGAACTTCATAATCAGCATCACACAATTGGCTGATTGAGATGAGATTGTGTTTGAGACCCTTTACATATGAAACATTCTGAAACACCACATTATTGCACTTGATGTTTTCATATCCTTTAGTAAACCCCTTTCCATTGTCTCCGTATGTTACTGCAGGACCAATTTTCTTGACATAGTCTTCCAGGAGAGACTTGGATCCTGTCATATGTCTTGAGCAACCGCTATCTAAGTACCAAAGATGCTCCTGACCCTGCAGTGCTGAGAAACTAGTTAGAACACACTAACCCATTGTAAGATGGGTCATTCACAAAGTTATTTAACAATATATTATAGCACTCTTTAGGAAGACAGTTTAAAGAATTTGATTTAAGGGTCCATCTTTCATTTCTAACTTTGATGTTATCAGCTCTTAATGATGTTTTATCAAACTTGCATTCACTGATTTTGTGAGTCGTGTCACCACATCTATAGCAAATTCTAGTACCAAAGTTTTTCTTGGTAAGCACATTTCTAGATTTAACACATTTATATTTGAAAGATTCACCAAGTGAACTTTGAGTCCTTTTATTTGACATTGAATTACTAAAGAATTCAGTGTCAGGAGAACTAAAGTCAGTGATGGATGAGGAGTTGACATCAGTATCAAATTTACACTTATGTACTGAAACACTGCAATCAGGATATTGTTTAAGTTGTTCATGAACAGCATGAAACACTCCGTTTGAGATAGGAAATGCGATAATATTTTCAGTGAGAGGAGTTGGTCTCTCAAGATGTGCAGGGTAAGAAGTAGGATCAATTCCGGTAATTTCAATACTACACTCAATAACACCATTAGAATCAGTAACATAGTGTTCATCAATGAGACTCTGATTAATAAAGGTGTTGCTGATAAATTTGTTTTTGAAATTATCTTTTAATTCATTCATGGAATAAAATTCAGATTCCTTTTCTTGAGATTTAAAAACCTTTTCAGCTTCAACAAAATTCCCCCCAAGGATTTTCTCACATGAATGAGGTATTTGAGCAGAAATAACATAATTAGCATTTTTGTGAGATTTAGCCCAAAGCTTTAAAACAG